ATACATAGCTACAAATAGTTTAATAAAGTACTGTTATGATTGCTTAAAAAATATATAAATAAATTTTATATAAAAAATAGTAGATAAAGAGTTGTTTAGTAAATCTTTAATTTTAAAAAATTTAAGTTAATTGAATTTATAATTACAACTCTTTCCGATGATCATCTGAACCAACTTTTCCAAAAAAGCCGAACTATAGAGAAATGATATAGTTAATATATTAAACTTTATGAAAACCTTTTTGGAGTACTGTACACGCATAGTTAAATATTGAAATAGAGTTGAAAAAGAAGTTGCAGCTTTGTGGTGACGGTTTAAAAGCACTCTGAGACTATAGAAGAAGTAGTCGGCGAAAGCCAAAGTTTTTTATCAAGTAAACAACAAAGTTGGATATATTAGTTCTATACAACTGTAAAACCTACAAGGAACACCTAAAAGGGTCAAGAACTCACAGAAGCTAAAAAGTTGGTTCACCGAATGACACCTTGATATCGATTATCTAATTTCTATGCACTGCAAAAATTACGTTTTTGATGTTACATATTTATTAAAATCAAAAGAATAACTTCGAACTTTTTGTCACACATTATAAAAGTTCGAAGTTATTCTTAATCATAACAAATATAACAGAAAATGCAAAAAACATAAGTTTTATATGTTACTCTATCCTAGAGATGTTAAGTAGTCTGACTACTTTTGAATTTTACAATACAATTTAGCTAGTTTAACTAGTTAGTTTGTATAATAAACTTAACCAGTTTAATATCCCTAACTCTATCCTCCTAACCAAAGTTACTTTTAGATTTCTAAATTTAATTTGCTGAAAGTTCAATATATTCAAAAATATGATTCCAATTATAAAGTGTAAATTGTAATATAACTTAAATATTTAAATTAAAAGAGTGACTAATAAAGCTTTTTCTACAAATATTTTAATATATATAAAGCTTAAGTATAAACAACTGGTAACAAGAAAAAATTAAAATAAAAAAGTCATTAATATCCAAAAAAAATGCTGCTTTTACGAAGGGCACCCACTATCAATACATTTTTGTGAACATATGATGATCCAATTCATAGTGTTTTCGAGAAAAGCATTTGCTAATACTTGTACTTCTTTAGAACTAAATTGACTATATGAAAGATTCAAATAAATGAGCGTTGGCTAATTAATTTTATAAATTAAAAGTTAATGATAACACTTTATTTATACTAAAGTGTAGACGTATTATAATAAGTACATTTTCTGTATTTCATATACTTTTAAACATATGCAATTCTAATTAATATGCAAATACACTATTTTGGGAATAACACATTAATATATTTAATTTTAGAAACCTTTTTGTATAATATGAAATGGCATTGATGGAACTTTCTTGTGAAGAATAATTAAATTGATTGACATCAATATTGATATGTTAATTAAAATTATAGTATATTTATCATGTGAATTCGCAGACCCATGGGCCCGTTAAATTACGTGCTATTTTAGATGAACACCTGAAATAATGGTTTGACCCAAGATATTAATTTAAAAAATGATTCTTTTTTTTAATTCTTTTATGAAAAATATATTATGTTAGTGCTTATGTAATGTCTAATCAAGCATGATTTCAAGATTATATAATTATAACCCTAACCTTAATATCAAAGATTTGCTAAACTTGGAGACTTCGTGGAAAGCTTCAACATTATTAAAGAGACTTTGTAAAAACTGGTCATAATTTGCATCTCTCATGCTGTAAGATCTGATTCTACGAGAATATATGCTGGGCAATGTGTTATATTGAGTAATTCAATAAGCCTCTATGTTCCTACCCAATATCATTGTTCATGATTCTTAAAATGGATTTGACTTTTTTCTTCACTAAACCATGTAAGGCTTTATAAGATGAAGGTATTTTTTTATCTTGTTCATTCTCTTCTGCTAGTATTACGAGCAATGTTAAGTATGTACCCTAAGTTGATACAACAATTTTAACATTTTCTCTTCAACTTTGCCTTTGTATTCTTTAGTTGACTATATTGTACAGCCCATTTTTTAAAATAGTTGCCCAATGATTCCATATTAGTTGAATAAGAAGGTAATGGTGGAAAGGAAAAATTAATAACATTGGTTTCATTAAAAAGGTGACTAAAATCTGTGATCAGAAGATCTTCTATTGATTTGTTCTTTGCAAAAAGTTTATCACCATACACTATTAATTGATTTTTTTGGACAATTTCAAAGTTATTTTTTAAGAGGAGTGCCTTATTTTTTTCAATTTCATTAATGGTGGCTGTGGAATTTATTTTTTTTTTCCTTTTAAGGTGAGGTCATGCCCCAAACTTTATTAATTATATATCATTATAGCATACAACTTACATTATATCTGTTACTCTATATAACTATATTAAGATAGAAACTCAGACTAATTTATCTGCGACCTAGACCTACCAGAGTTTATATGTATCCCACTTATGCCTAACCTGGATTTTTGTTTCACACCTTAAGATATTGAGTAACCTGTATATTCCCCCCATGTCTCACAAACTATTGTCAAACAACTTCCAAATTGGTCTGCTGGGTCGTTCGCTCCTTATGAGCTACCATCTTTGGTCTGCCAGCGTACCCCTAACAGTACATATAATCTAAATTCAAAGTAAAATGAAAATGTGAAAAAAGACATGGTTTCATCATAAATCATGTCCTCAAGTTTAATTCCTAAAATCTGTTTTGAACTAGGTGCTTAAATCAAATTTATCAGTTCGTGATTAAATATTCCCTTAGAATCTCTCTTATCTGCCAATTTTTGATAATCAGTAAAACTTAATTGACCTAATTTGCTAGTGATTTCTTCTTCATCTGACATTTTTGCTATATAAAAACAATATGAATAAAATATGCTATATAAATTGCGCCATCATGCTGAATGCAGAGTACGTAATGGTAATACTTAGTTATTTAAAACTCTACTAATTTTATTGGCTAGCGGAGAGATTCAAATCATATGATATCATAATTGAAATTAGTAATTATGTAACATACTTTTTTAATAATTTATATCAATATATATATAATATATCTGGTTTTTAACTTAAAATTTCTTAAAATACTAGCGAATCTGAATTTTTCAAACACTATTGTTGGGAAATGTACTGTTAATGTAATATCTTTGTGTGAATTTACTTTCGGGAAATCATTTTGTCGGGGAATTTATTGTCGGGGAAATGTCTTGTCGGGTATGTGTAAATCAGATGTCGAAAACTTATTGCCGGTAAAACATCTTTCGTGAAAGTGTAATGTTGTTGTCGGAGAAATTTAATGTCAGAAAACCTCCTGTCGGGATGTCATAAATATAGTTGCGGAGATATGTTTGTCAGGAAATTGAATTCGGGGATATGAGTTGTCGGAGAAATGGTCGTCGGGAAATCAGGCAAATACCCAGAAAATATAGGATTGAGTATTAGAAACGTAAAACAACTAGAAGTAAAGGTCAAGAACAATAGAGCACTCACCTCCAGGAAACAGGATAATCCAAGAATAGCCCTAAAACCCGGACCAAATCTTCCACGCCGTCTTTCAGCCTTCCAACTTAGGGTTAATTGTTGGATTTATAGTGATTGTTTAAGCCCAAATCCTCGTGTGACATAGATCCCGGACGAGTTCCGTCCAAAACCAAAAGACCTTTTCAACATACATTTACATAATTGCAGATTCCTGAAAAACTGGAAACTGCTAAATTTATTACCTGCTACTTCATAGGGTTACTCGACATCATTACAGAGATGTGTTACTTTTGGCACCTGCATTTTTTATCCCCCTTTCTTGCCTTATGATAAGGAAATTGTACATTGTACTACCTGAAAATAACATGCATGAGCTAACAGGAGGAACCACAACTAATCCAGCAAGTGAAGGATTATAACTGTAACATAGACTAGCCGAATGATCCGGTATTGTAAAATAATTTTTTATGTGCTGCACACCGGGTGTGAGATTAGTTGTGTAACATTGACGGTTCCTCCTGTTGCATGAGCAAGATAAACATATCTTCCTATGACAGGTTTCTTACCTAAAAAAGATATGGCATGCACGCCACTTATTCGCCAGGAAGATTAAATTTAAGCCTAGTGGAAATTCAATAAAAAAGCGAGTATATTGACAATAAGCATAGTTATTATAAAGGTATTTTAATGTTGTTTTGTATCAGACCCCGAGTTTTTTAGTCAGTGCATTAAGGCACAACCAAACTTTATTAAAATATTGCAATATATAGATATTGCCTTTTATTTGTTTAATTAATCTTTCTAATTGAATTATAAATTTCAATAAATAATCTTTAAATTCATTATTTCACCAGAAAACTCCAATATAAATTTAAATCCCTACATTTAGTGCAATTAATGGACTTACCAACTGCATGGAATCTCGATGATAAATCTACTTGTTTGAACGTAGATTCGAGCGGACTTAGAGTGAATTATGAAGGTGAGACTTAGTGTTGGGCAAATTGAGGTTTTTTAAATTTCAATGCGCATAAAAAGTTTATCTACTTTGATTTTTTGGGGTACGTAATTATCAAATCACGTGAAATCATGCAATGACGTCATTTGTTTTAACTAATTGGCCTAAACTATATTATCACCTAACTCTAACACTAACACTAATTTAGGCGTGTTTTTCATGTGCTGTGATTGTCTCGAAAATATCACTGAGTTCACTGTTCTTGAAACTACTGTACCCAAATTTTGTCCATCATGCACATTCGCTCATCGCTAGTGTGACTATTAATATAGGATTACATGGAAAATGATTTAAAATTGCTGAATTAATACAATTTTTAATTAAATACTTAGGTTTGGGCAAAAACCCGGAAGATTCCGGTGCAATACGGCAAATAATCCAATCCCCCGCAATGCGAGTTGTTTTATTTTGAAGTTGACATAATAAATAAAGGAAAAAATAAGTATGCTGAAAAATATTTTGCATAAATTAAATAAACTCTTTTAAATTTTGCTTATGATTTTTTGGATTCTTTTATTCATAAGAATTATTGGAATTGGGCTTTGTGAAAAAGCGGTTAATTTAGATAAAATGCTTGGTGATTAAACTTTATTCATATTTTGGCATATTGAACAAATATTTATTCATGTTTTTTTTACAGGATGGGATGATGGCTCCTGTGATTATCGCGGAGATGGCCACTTCTTTTGTTATCACAGAGATGATGGACACTTCTTTTGCTGCTCGGGAAGCGGCGATCCTTATTTACCGTCGTTTTCTGCCGGTGATACCATTGGATGTTGTTTAAATTTTAAAAATAAGACTGCATTCTATACTAAAAATGGTAGTAACCTAGGAAGTTAGTACAAAGCTTTATCCCTTAAACCGTTTGAAATTCAGGGCAAATTTGCCCTGAATTTTACTATAAAAATACTTCTGATCTATTTTTTT